TTCTTGGAAAACAGAGCCGACTAGTAGAGTAATGTTAACTTACCACATTTACTTTTCCATCAATTTCTTAGACTGCCAGCGCCATTGATTCGATCGATCAATCTCACTTTCACAGTCAGAACCTCGGGACCATATTGAACTCCAACAACATTTTTAGGTTGCGACTCTTAAGTCTATAACCGATATTATTCTACTTTTCTTATAAATGTAATTATTCTGTTATTAGGGTAGTAGACTGTGTATGAAAATTTAAAATGTAATTAGTCTGTCAAAATAATAGACACGTATTTTTTTTATTTTGTCGTATAATAAAACAATACTTATAAAACGGTCTTATGTTTAGGAGTAAAAAATCGATGTCACACGATATTTCTAATCAATATATCGTCGAAAGTATTTAATTTTATAAAAAAAGAAAAAATAATAATAATCTTAAGCATAAGGCATCAAAAATAATTTCCTCATCGCTATCGTGAGTCCTCTCACGATAGCCTAAAAGACTGGCAGCAATTTTTTTGATACCTTATGTTTAAGATAGGTTTAAAGAATCTTTATTCTCAATAATAACATACATGCCACTTACTTGAGAACATATAGGTAGGTTAGGTTAGGCTCGACAACATCTGGACAAAACATGACAACAAATAAGTCCCATCCAACACATTCATTTTTCGGGTATTTGATTAAGAAGTAAGTATTTGTAAAGCTGAGTTTTGAATGCGTTGAATGAGTGCAGGTTTCTTATGCTTGAAGGTATTTTATTATAAAGCTGTGCTCCTTCAAATGTGAGCATTTTTTTGCCATAATTTGTTCTTATTTTTGGTAAAACCAATAGACTTGCTCGCCGGGTACTTGTTTGTGTTGTGTAAGAGTAATATTTGAATGTATGGTTTTGTTAAGAACTTTTTTGATAAAAATGCATAAATATGTTGTAAGTGTATAATTGTTTTATATTCATTAGTTTTGTGTCTTTGTATATCTTTGTCGTTGCTGTTAGGTACGGATAGTTGAAGAGCATTTTTATCAGTTTATTTTGTGTGATTTGAAGATAGCATATTTATTATTTTTAAAGGTGTAAATATTTTAGTTTTTAGTATTTTAAGTTGTATATATTTATTCACACTTAATTTAATAAAGTTCCTAATTAAAAAAAATACGTGTCTAATGTTTTAAAATAATCTACCAGACGGACATTAAAATTTTAGTATACTATCCTATTAAGCCATGTGTTGCCTTGTAGTTTTTCTGTAACAAAACTGCGATACGACTTTAGTAACTCATACAATCTGTAGCACGTTTTTGCTAAGTAACTATTTAGTTTTAAAGTTAGATAAGATTTGTTTGCTGAAGTGCCTGTTTCCAGTACCGTTAGCTTCATTTGCTTGGTAAATAGAACATCCGTAATACTCGGAACAATGACCGGGATTATGAGAACGATAGTTGTTATCGGATGTTTTGTTGTACGCTTTGATTTTAGTCTGTGTGAACTTGTTAATGGGGTATAACTTTGTGGTAGGAGTTCAATAAAAATGTATGCGAATGGTGGTTTAATAAAAATGTATGCGAATGTTATATACAATGTCAACAACCAGTGGCAGCCCACAACTGTACAATGGCCTCCTCTACATGAATGGGTTTACTATATCCATCTCCTTACTTGATTCTCATTTAATCATCGTCTAAAAGATTCGGTTTTATTATATGCGCTAGGTAAAGAGTAGATGGTTAAAACTTTGCACTTTATTTAGGGATAGCTAATACGTACTTGAGTTATACAAAATAAATCAAAAATATCACCAATAAACGTTTCTTTTACTACCATGTTGATTTAGTGGTCGCAGGCGCGGTTGTTGGGCATGTACTATGTCGAAGTAACTTTATTACTTTATGAGTTCATAACTCTGTCTGCTATCGAGGTGGAGACAGAATTATATTATTTGTTCAACTAAGGATATTTATTTACCTATTTTCCAAAAGTACCTACTAAAACCCCAACGATGTTTTCTCACATAATACACAGTATCAATCCTTTTCACATATCTAAATACCAAATCCTTACTAATATTATAAATCGGAAAGTGAGTTTGTTTGTTTGTTCCGCTTTCACGCCGTAACTACTAAACCGATTGCTTTGAATTTTTGCAGATGTATAGTTAGAAGTCCGGATTAAATAATAGGGTACTTTTTATCCCGGAAAAATTTGATATTCCCGAGGGAAAACAAAAGTATTGGTATAGATGGCGCTGTGTGTATTGGTATATGTCACATTGGCTTTTTATCCTTTTGTGACGCGAGCGAAGCCGCGGGTAAAAGCTAGTA